CCAGGTGGGGGGTGTGGGAGGTTTTTGGGCGAGAAATCGTAAGGTCGGGGGTCCCAAGAACACAGCCCAGAGGCCTGGGGATGTCGTGGGGGGGTGGTGGCCAGGTGGGGGCCAGGTGGGGGGTATGGGTTGTTTTGGGGCGACAAATCGTTGGGTCGGGGGTCCCAAGAACACAGCCCAGAGGCCTGGGGATGTCGTGGGGAGCGGTGGTGGCCGGGTGGGGGCCAGGTGGGAGGTATGGGTCGTTCTTGGGCGAGAAATCGTAGGGTCGGGGGTCCCAAGAACAGGGCCCAGAGAACTGGGGATGTCGTGGGGGGGTGGTGGCCAGGTGGGGGCCAGGTGGGGGGTATGGATCGTTTTTGGGCGAGAAATCGTAAGGTCGGGGGTCCCAAGAACACAGCCCAGAGGCCTGGGGATGTCGTGGGGGGGTGGTGGCCAGGTGTGGGCCAGGTGGGGGGTATGGGTTGTTTTGGGGCGACAAATCGTAGAGTCCGGGGTCCCAAGAACAGAGCCCAGAGGCCTGGGGATGTCGTGGGGGGGTGCTGGCCAGGTGGGGGCCACGTGGGGGGTATGGGTCGATTTGGGAGAGAAATCGTAGGGTCGGGGGTCCCAAGAACAGAGCCCAGAGGCCTGGGGATGTCGTGGGGGGGTGGTGGCCAGGTGTGGGCCAGGTGGGGGGCAGGTGAGGGGCGTTGGTCGTTTTTGAGCGAGAAGTCGTGGGGTTGGGGGTCCCAAGAACAGAGCCCAGAGGCCTGGGGGGGAGGGGGGCGTTGGTCGTTTTTGGGCGAGAAATCGTGGGGTCAGGGGTCCCAAGAACAGAGCCCAGAGGCTTGGGGGTGTCGGGGCCAGGTGGGGGCCAGGTGGGGAGCGTTGGTCGTTATTGGGCGAGAAATCGTGGCGTCAAGGGTCCCAAGAACAGAGCTCAGAGGCCTGGGAGTGTCGGGGCCAGGTGGGGGCCAGGTGAGGGGGGGGGGGGTGGCGTTGGTCGTTTTTGAGCGAGAACTCGTGGGGTCGGGGTTCCGAAGAACAGAGCCCAGAGGCTTGGGAGTGTCGGGGCCAGGTTGGGCCAGGTGCGGGGCCTTGGTCGTTGTTGGGCGAGAAATCGTGGGGTCGGGGACCCCAAGAACAGAGCCCAGAGGCTTGGGGGTGTCGGGGCCAGGTGGGGGCCAGGTGGGGGGCGTTGGTCGTTTTTGGGCGAGAAATCGTGGGGTGGGGGAGTCCCAAGAACAGAGCCCAGAGCCTTGGGGGTGTCGGGGCCAGGTGGAGGGGGGGGGGGACGTTGGTCGTTTTTGGGCGAGAAATCGTGGGGTCGGGGGTTCCAAGAACAGAGCCCAGAGGCTTGAGGGTGTCGGGGCCAGGTGGGGGCCGGGTGGGGGGAGGGGGGGGGGCGTGGATCGTGTTTGGGCGAGACATCGTGGGTTCGGGGGTCGGGGGCGTGGTGGGGAGTGTGGTTGGGGGTATCGGTCGGTTTTGGGCGAGAAGTGGTGTGGTGGGGGAAGGGGGGGCCCAAGAACAAAGGTTCCAAGGGAGAGAGCCAGGAGGGGGGTATCGGTCGGTGGCTGCTTGAAAGGAGAACCTCACGATGAATGGCTCTAGCACACACTCTCCCTCACACGCCTCTGGGGTCGGCGGATGATAATGGTGCTGATAATACTAATGATGGTGAAAACGGTGATGATGATGGATGATGATGATTGATGGTGATGCTGATAATGATGATGATGCTTCTGCTGCTGTTGCGGCTGCTGGACATGATAGTGATGATGATGCTGATGATGATGACGATGAGGATGACGATGCTGATGATCATGATGATGACAAAGATGATGATGATGATGATGATGATGATGATGATGATGATGATGATGATGATGATGATGATACTAATGCTGATGCCGATGCTGATGATGACGATGACGATGACAATGACGATGATGACGACGACGACGACGACGATGATGATGATGATGATGATAATGCTGATGATGCTCATGATGATGCTGATGCTGATGCTGCTGCTGCTGACGACGATGACGATGATGATGATGATGATGATGACCATGATGATGCTGATGATGATGATGATGATGATGATGATGATGGTGGTGATGATGATGATGATGATGATGATGATGATGATGATGATGATGATGATGATGATGATTATGATGATGATGATGATGATGATGATGATGGACTGATGCTGCTGCTGATGATGATGATGATGATGATGATGATGATGATGATGATGATGATGCTGATAATGGTGATGATGCTGATGAGGAGGAGGAGGAGGAGGAGGAGGAGGAGGAGGAGGAGGAGGCGGCGGAGGAGGAGGAGGAGGAGGAGGAGGAGGAGGAGGAGGAAAGAATGGAGGGAGGGAATGGGAAGGGAGGGGGGGAGGGAGAGAGGCAGGGGGCAGGGAGGGTATGGTAGGAAAGGGTTTGGGTCGTAGATGGGTATGTGGGTAGGTAGGTAGGTAAGTAGGTCGACAGGTAGGTAGGTAGGGGTGGGTGAAGGGATGGGAGGGAGGGAGTGAGGGAGGGATAGAGGCAGGCAGGCAGGCCGGCAGGCTGGCAGGCAGGCAGGCAGGCAGGCAGGAGGAGGAGGAAGAAGGATGAGGAGGAGGAAGGAGTGATGGGGGGAGAGGGTAAAACGACGCGAAGATCGGGACAAAATCGGATCGGGATAACTCGAAATCTCTGAGAATCGGCGGGTTTGGAGGATGTATTGGGCGCCGCTGCCGCTCCAGAGCGTTCCGGAACGCTCTGGAGCGATTTATCCCGATCCTAGTCCTGTTTTAGAGGGGACGGAGGGAGGGACAGAGCGGAGGGGGGGTGGGGGGGTGGATCGGAGTGAGGGAGGGGAGAAGGCCCCCTCCTCCGTTCTTGTCGTCCTTTGGCGGCCGCCGTCGTGCCCCCCCCACTCGAAATTGTTCTTACCTGCCTCCGTTCGGCCCCTGCCTGCCGCTGCCGTTTGTAGCCTGGCCAGACGCCGCGCCCACTTTTAGTCTACCCCTTAGGCACACATCGCTTTACATCCGCTATCAGATAAGGCCGTTCTAGTTGGTATGGGAGCTTCAGCTCCAATACCACGGCCGCAATGTTGTACTCGCCTCGCTTGAACAGCACAGGCTCCGACTCCCCGCCGCTCTACGCTCGACATCCAGCCGGTCATCTCGCTGGACATTCTCTTTCATCGCCTTCGCGGCAGGAAGCGTCGTCACTCTCGGGTCCGTCGGGGCGTCCGCCCATCCGCCAGGACCGGCGACGGGAAAGGCGCACACCTACTTCACGGGACCTACAAGGACCCCGGCCGCGCGCCAGAGCTAACAGCGATCCCTCCCAGGCTTTCGTTGACTATGTCGCCGCAGCTTGCGGACCCCGCGCTGTCAATGCACGCGCCTGTGGGTGTAGCCGCGAATGTCAGACAGTTGCGCGACGCAGCCTTCACATCTACGGCGTCCGTTAAGGGTCCCGAGCTTCTGGCGAGTGTGTCGCGAGAGCCCTGGGAGGAACAAGCGGAGAAGAGCGGGAAGGAAACGGAAGCTTTGGCGACTGTGTCGCCAGCGCTCCGAGGGACTGAAGCGGATCCGGGAAATCAATAGTTCTGTTCTTTGGTACATGACTTTTCACGTTGCCCGCGCGTTCCCTGCTGTCTGGCAAGAGTGGGTCCCGATGCTCGCTCCTTTCGACGGTCGTGCATGTTGCGGTGCTCAATGCAGTGACAACGCGACGTGCGAGGCGAATTCCCGTGCCGGTGTCACGGGACGCCCCGAGGGCACCACAACCGCGCGACGGAAGCTTGGGCTCAATGCGCAGACGAGGAGGAATACTTGTGGGGCAAGTATCCACGGCGTCTCGGACGCACACTTCCCCAGCAGCGCTGCTGCCGGATCCCTGGTCTCCAGAGTTCTACGGCGCGTGGAGGGAGCTGCTGTCTGGATGGAAGGTCATCACAGTGGGCGTGATGATTGCCAATGCCAGCTGCATTTCCTGCGTGGGCGCAGGCGGAGGCAGCGGCAACGTGCGACACCTCCTCGCCTGGGGGCCCGAACAGCAAGCTCAAGCTCGCGCGCCGCGCCCTTCCAGACATGGGCGCGCAGTGGCGAACTCATTCCTCGACGAGTTTCGCCGGGCGACCTACGTCTCGTAACGACTCGCCAGCACGGCACGCGAACGCGTGGACGAATGGCCGCCAGTGAGGACTTATCAGCGGCAGCCCAGTGCCACCGATGGCAATCCCGATGCGCAGTTCGGCCGAACGGTTGGGCCAACTGCGCGAGGAGGAGCGCACTTCTGCAGTGTCCGCAAGAGGGCGTGTCGACGTCCTGACGCGTTTCGACATCCTTCGCAACCGAGCGCAGCAAGCTGGTCGATTCATGATCGGCTACGAGAGCTTCAGGTTCCTCTTGGTGAGCGCCGTTCGTGTGTCGCTGTCTCACCCAACAGTGAGGAGGCGACTCTCGTGACTATGTCAGTAGGTCGACCAGTTTGCGGGCATTGCCGGGCGAGGGCAATAAGGAAGTCGAGCATGCGCGTGAGTGCTGCTCCAGCTACTTGTGTTCGTTGAGCACCAGCAGCCACGTTGTTGTGCTTAACTTTTTCTTGCTCGCAGCAGGCTGGCAGTTTTGTATTCGGGATGCGGTCAGAAGGACACTCCATCTGTCTCGAGCACGGTCGGCATAGCGCTCCAGTTGCGCATTTCTTGATACAAAGGGAAGTGCTGCCAGCAGGGCGTTCCCTGCAGCGGGGAGCTTTTTACGAAGGCGCGGTCTGAAGAGCATCCTCCTTGCAGCTGTCCGAACTGAGCGAAGGCACGGCGGACTTGTTTGAGCGCCAGAGTCGAATGGGATCCTTCCTGCCTTTTCCCACCCCTGCTTGCCGCTGCCCTTTGTAGCCTGGCCAGGCACCGTGCCCGCTTTGCATCCGCTATCAGGAAAGTCCCGCGCTTTTCATATTCTACATCCTTTCTCTAGCCCCCCGTTCGCCCCCCGTGAGGACGCGGAGCTGCTGCGCGCCGTGTTCAACCCGCGCCTCTCCGACAGGCCTGCTGACGCTGCCCTCCTCCACCTCCCTTCCTCCCCTTCCTCCTTCTCTTATTCCCCCCGTTCCTCCTCTTCCTCCACCTCCTCGTCGTCCCCCTCTCTCCCCTTCACTCCCCCTTTCCCATCCCTTCTTGTGCCTTTACGGCAACTCTTCCGTCTTTCTCCTTGGGGCGGGTCGGTAGGGGGCTGGTCTGGCGTTTCGCCTGCGGCCCATCCCCTTTTGTGTCCGTTAAACTCGATACTTGAAAAACAACTTCACAGGTGTAGGGCGGTCCTTTTTGAAAAAAATGTGGCTCTCGCCTTAGCGTCCCGCGCGTTCGTGTTATACATGTTCAAGCGTTTTGCTGATGGGGGGCGGGCCGGTTGTAACAGGTGTCTTCTGCATTAGCGCCGCGCACACTCGCGTTAAACAGGCGCAACAGTTGCATTGATGCAGGGCAGTTCCTTTTCAAAATGCTGTGTTCGCCCTGCTGCCGCGCCGAGTCGCCTTAAGAAATGTTTACGAGTGTTTCGCAGATTTTTCATGACGGGGCGAGCGGCTGGACGTCCCCCAACCACCCCCGGTTAACTCGTGGCGAAGGTCCGCTGGCGTTTTGTCCCCACCCACCCTGCGGCCAGCGCGCCTCGCGGGGAAACGCCCCATCGTATTTTTTTTCAGCACACATCCTCGTTCCGCGGGGACAGACAGTTGCGGAGTGCGTTCTGGCATTGGTCAGCGGCATTGTTTTCGACACCCACTCTCTGCCTGCGGGCGGTTTGTGTCAATCATCTTATTTCCGCATCCGCCCGCTCGCCAACCAGCCCCCCGACTTTCTTGCAGCCTCCGCAATTTCCTCGGTGGGTCGTCGTCGTCGGCGCCGCCGCCGTCGTTGTCGTCATTGTCGTCGTCGTTGTCGTCGTCGTTGTTCGTCGTCGCCAGGCCTTGCGCGCCCCCCCTTACATGGGGCGTCCGCAATTCGTCGTCGTTGTCGTCATCATCGTCGTCGTTGTCGTCGTTGTTGTCGTCGTCGTTCGTCGGCGTTAGCCGTCGTTCGTCGTCGTCGTCGTCGTCGCTGGGCCTTTCATTGCACCCCCTCCATTGGGGGAGTGCAGCGACATGGTTGCAATTTCTCGCACGGTTTCGGGGGTAACACGTGTCACCCGCTCCTTGCTTCCCAGGCTGAATGATTCCCAACCCTCCTGTGTGTTGGGTCCTCGTTTTGGATCCGCAGTGCCGCGCGTCTCCTCCTCCTCCTCCTCCTCCTCCTCCTCCTCCTCCTCCTCCTCCTCCTCCTCTCCTCCTCCTCCTCCTCCTCCTCCTCCTCCTCCTCCTCCTCCTCCTGCTCCTCCTGCCGTATATAAAAATGGAGGAGTCGAGTCGAGTCGAGTCCTCCTCCTCCTCCTCCTCCTCCTCCTCCTCCCATGTTCCTCCTCACCCTTCCCTTCGCTTCCTCCTCATCCTCCCTTTCCGACTTCCCATCGCAACCACCATCAACATCACCACCATCGTCATTATCCTCCACCGAAGGCTCCAGTGGCAGGGTCCGCATGCGTACTCGGGTCCATTTGGGCACACCCCTCACACGTTTCGTGGCCCATAGGGAGCTCCTCCGAAGGCTCCATTGGCAGTGTCCGCATGCGTAGTCGGGTCCATTTGGGCACACCCTTCGCACGCTTCGTGGCCCCATATGGGGGCTCTATCGAAGGCTCCATTGGCAGGGTCCGCATGCGTACTGGGGTCCATTTGGGTACACCTTTCACACGCTCCGTGGCCCCATAGGGAGCTTCTCCGAAGGCCCCAGTGGCAGGGTCCGCATGCGTACTCGGGTCCATTTGGGCACACCCCTCACACGTTTCGTGGCCCTATAGGGAACCCCACCGAAGGCCCCAGTGGCAGGGTCCGCATGCGTACTCGGGTCCATTTGGGCACACCCCGCACACGTTGCGTGGCCCCACAGGGAGCTCCACAGAAGGCTCCAGTGACAGGGTCCGCATGCGTACTCGGGTCCATTGGGGCACACCCTTCACACGCTTCGTGGCCCCATAGGAAGCTCCACCGAAGACTCCAGTGGCAGGGAATGCTCCAGCGGCAGGGTCCGCATGCGTACTCGGGTCCACTTCGACGAACACCTCACACGTTTCGTGGCCCCGCGGGGGGTTCCGCCGCAGGCTCCATTGGCAGGGTCCGCATGCGTATTCGGGTCCATTTGGGCACACCCTTCACACGCTTCGTGGCCCAATAGGGAGCTCCACCGAAGACTCGAGTGGCATGGAATGCTCCAGTGGCAGGGTCCGCATGCGGATTCGTGTCAATTTGGGCACACCCCTTATACGTTTCGTGGCCATATAGGGAGCTCCACCGAATGCTCCAGTGGCAGGGTCCGCATGCGTACTCGGGTCCACTTCTGCGAGCACCTCACACGTTTCGTGGCCCCATAGGGAGCTCCGCCGAAGACTCCAGTGGCAGGGTCCGCATGCGTACTGGGGTCCATTTGGGTACACCTTTCACACGCTTCGTGGCCCCATAGGGAGCTCCACCGAAGATCCAGTGGCAGGGACTGCTCCAGTGGCAGGGTCCGCATGCGTATTCGGGTCCATTTGGGCACACACCTCACGCGTTTCGTGGCCATGTCAGGAGCTCCACCGACGGCCCCAGTGGCAGGGCCCGCATGCGTACTCGGGTCCACTTCGGCGAACACCTCACTCGTTTCGTGGCCCCGTAGGGAGCTCCACCGATGACTTCAATGGCAGGGCCGGCATGCGTTTTCGGGTCCACTTGGGCACAGCCTCACACATTTCGTGGCCCCATAAGGAGCTCCGAAGACTCCAGTGGCAGGGAATGCTCCAGTGGCAGGGTCCGCATGCGGATTCGGGTCCATTTGGGCACACCCTTCACACGTTTCGTGGCCCTATAGGGAGCTCCATCGAAGGCCCTAGTGGCAGGGTCAGCATGCGTACTCGGGTCCACTTCGGCGAACACCTCACACGTTTCGTGGCCCCATAGGGAGCTCCACCGAAGACTTCAATGGCAGGGCCCGCATGCGTATTCGGGTCCATTTGGGCACACCACTCACACGCTTCGTGGCCCCATAGGGAGCTCCACCGAAGACTCCAGTGGCAGGGAATGCTCCAGTGGCAGGTCAGCATGCGTATTCGGGTCCATTTGTGCACACCCTTCACACGTTTCGTGGCCCTATAGGGAGCTCCACCGAAGGCCCGCGAACACCTCACACGTTTCGTGGCCCCATCGGGAGCTCAGCCGAAGGCTCCATTGGCAGGGTCCGCATCCGTACTCGGGTCCATTTGGGCATACCCTTCACACGCTTCGTGGCCCCATAGGGAGATCCACCGAAGACTCCAAAGGCAGGGAATGCTCCAGTGGCAGGGTCCGCATGCATATTCGGGGCCATTTGGACACCCCTCACACGTTTCGTGGCCCTATAGGGAGCTCCACCGAAGGCCCCAGTGTCAGGGTCCGCATGCGTACTCGGGTCCACTTCGGCGAACATCTCACACGCTTCGTGGCCTCATAGGGAGCTTCGCCGAACGCTCCAGTGGCAGGGTCCGCATGCGTACTCGGGTCCATTTGGGCGCGCCCCTCGCACCCCAACGAGCTCTTGTGCATCGAACGGTCCGGTTGATGGTTTCCACGTGCGTAGAAGGGGTTGGTTCTTCGCCAGGGTAGTTTTTTTTTGCCCCCCCGAATCCCAAATTCACAATTGGTCTTTCTCACATGATTTCGGGGTGACACGTGTCACCCGCTGGTTTTCGCAGGCCAAATGGCCCTGAGTTGGCTCCCACAATCTTGAATTGGGAAATGTTTGGTTCAATGTGGTTTGGGAGGTGGTACGTGTCACCCGCTGCATTTTTCCAGGTTGATTGACTTTTTGTTGGTTCCCATAATCCTAGATTCGCAATTGGTTCTTCTCATGCGGTTTCGGGGGTGACACGTGTCGCCCGTTGCTTCTCTGAGGCTGGCAGACTCCGTGTTGGCCCTCGGACTCTACTTTTTCATTCGGTTCTTCCCGCGCGGTATCGGGGGTGACACGTGTCAACCGCTGTTTTTTTTTCTCAGGCAGCCTGTCCCCATGTTGGTTCTCAACATCTCAATTTCACAATGGATCTTTCTCAAACGGTTTCGGGGGTGACGCGTGTCACCAGTTTTTTTCTGAGACTAAAGGACACCATGCTGGCTCCCAGGATCCCAATTGTACGATTCTTTTTTCTCACACGGTTTCGGGAGTGACGCGAGTCACCCGTTGCTTGTCTGAGGTTGCCTGGCCCCATGGTGAATCCCAGAACCCCATATTTTTACAATTGTTTTTTATCGCACGGTGTCGGGGGTTGCACGTGTCACACGCTGATTTTTCCAGGCTGCAAGCTTTTTTGGTTGGTTCTCAGAATCACAAATTTAGAATTGGTCTTTCTCAGGTGGTTTCGGGTGTGACACGTGTCACCCGCTGGTGTTCGTAGGCCAACTGACCCCATGTCGGCTCCCATAGTTTTGAATTTGCAAATGTTTTGTCTCACGCGGTTTCGGAGGTGACACGTGTCACCCGCTGCTTTTCTCCAGGCTGACTGACCCATTGTTGGCTCCCATAGTCCAAGATTCACCGTTGTTTTTTCTCACGCGGTTTCGACGGTGACACGTATCGTCCGCTGCTTTTCTGAGGCCGACTGCTTCCATGTTGGCTCTCAGAATTATACGTTGTCATTTGGTTTTCCCCGCTTGCTTTCGGGGGAGACACGCGTCACCCGACTTTTTTCCTTCCCCAGCTGACTGACCCCATGTTGGCGCCCAGAAGCCCAAATTCACAATGGATCTTTCTCACACGGTTTCTTTGGGCTCGACGAGAAGCCAGGTCAGCGGGCCTTTCTGCCTTCCCCCACTTCCCACTGGATGACCTGACCCTGTCGGTTGCACAGGTGCGAAGGGGATACGCAGTGTTGGTGCGCGCGGGGGCAGGCGCGGGGCTGCCCGGGCGAAAAGGCGAGGTTGTTGGCCGGCACCTCCCCCCATCCCCCCGCTGGACAGACCGGGGCACCGCCGAAAGAAAAACAAAAAGATGGGGCCGCACCCCCCTCACCACCCACCAAACCACCCCAATCCAACCCGAAGGCCTCAATTTGCCCCCCATTTCCAGGTGGGGGGGGGGGTCGGGGAACATTACAAAAACACATGGAACCCGCACCGCCCCCCAACCCGAAATTCGGTTCGAATTCGGGTCTTCGGGTTGGGTTGGGGTGGTCTGGTAGGTAGTCTAAAACGACGCGAAGATCGGGACAAAATCGGATCGGGATAACTCGAAATCTCTGAGAATCGGCGGGTTTGGAGGATGTATTGGGCGCCGCGGCCGCTCCAGAGCGTTCCGGAACGCTCTGAGAGCGCTCCGGAACGCTCTGGAGCGATTTATCCCGATCCTAGCCCTGTTTTATAGTCACCCCCTGCCCGGCGGAAGCCAGGCGCATGGACGGTGACCTCTTCGTGCCCCCGCCCACCTGCGACGCGCACGCGGAGAAGCTGCGCGCCCTCGTCCGGGAGGAGGCAGCCGTGCAGGCCCCCGCCCGCCTCTCCCCCCGGCGCTCCGTGCGGTGATGTGCGCGGCCCCTGCCTTTTTTGTATGGCGTCGTGTTTTTGTTCGTTGTTTGTTCTTCTGCTTGATATGCAGAGGAGGAAAAGATACCCATACCTCTACCCTCTCCTCGTTTTCCCCGTTTTGGGCCTCCTGGGCGGCCCTCGTCGCCACCGCTGGATGCGCCTCGAAGTCCTGGTCAGAGCGCACCCCAGGAGAGGTCCGGGGAGTAGCGGTATCGGCACCTTTTGATCTCTCCAGATACGTTGTGTTTGTTTGTTCGTTCTGTTTGCGCACGGCGTGCTGTCTGCTCTTTGGTCGTGGTTCTCCCCGGGCGAGGAAAAGCGATCACATGGGCACAGGCTGTCGGACGTCCGTGGGGACTTTTCGGATCGGTCGGGGCCGTGGCGCCCCCCAGGTCTTGGGGCCCCCGCTCAGTCCGCGCCACGTGCCTCGGACCCTTCTGCGCACTCCCCCCCCCGCCCCTCTTCTTCCCGGCCCCCCTCCTCGGCGCACCTGCACGCCCCTCTGCCTCGACTCAGAGGGGGGGGCGGGGAGGAGGGGGGGTGAGGAGGTGCAGGGCAGCAGGAGGAGGGTCGTGATGCTGGTGATGGCAGTGGTGGTGGTGCTGGTGGTGATGATGGTTGTGGTGATAGTGATGATGATGGCGACGGGTGATTGTGATGGTGATGGTGATGGTGATGATGCGGATGCTGATACTGATGCTGCTGATGATGGTGGTGATGATGATGTTGATGATGATGCTGATGCTGATGCTGATGATGATGATGATGGTGGTGGTGATGATGATGATGATGATGATTATGAACCTGATTATGACGATGATGATGATGATGATGATGATGATGATGAGGAGGAGGAGGAGGAGGAGGAGGAGGAGGAGGAGGAGGAGGAGGAGAGGAGGAGAGGAGGAACAGGAGGGTGGGGGTGGTGAATGAGGGGATGTGACATGTTATGAAGCCGCGGTGGGGATGAGGGAGAAGGGCGAGGAGGAGGGGGAGGAGGAGGGAGAGGGAGAGAGGGAAGGAGAAGGAGAGAAGCAACAGGATCAGGATAATAAGGAGGGAAGAGAAGGATACTGCCTTGATAATTAGAAGGATAATGAGAAGGAGGGGGACTGACGACCACGAGGAGACATGATGGCGATGACATGTTTGATTGTGAATCTGCTCATGATTATGATGAGTAGGGGTTTGATGTTGACGATGGGGTTGGTGATGGCGATGATGGAGATGAAACTGATAATTCATGTGGCTGCTGCAGATGATGACGACGATGCTGTTTTCGAGTTAATGATGGCGATGCTGGTGCTAAGCAATATGATGACAAAGCTGCTCTTCATGATGACGATGATGATGAATGGTAAGATGGGGAGGCTACAGATAGGGAGGATTAGACGGAGAGAGTGGATGAGTTGGCGACGGAACGCGATTTTGTATGTTTTGGTGGGCGGCGTGCACGCTTTTATCGGAGAGGCTGTCTTAGTCACGTCCCTCTCCCCTCGCGCCTCCTGCTGCAAGGAGCAGCGCAAGCGCCACTTCTGCAGCACCAAGTTCGAGGAGAGCTTGGGAATGCAGCATGCTGGGAGATCGCCATTTGCCACACGCGGTGCAGGTGGCAGGGGAGGACCTATTACCGAAGAGGAGGAGGAGGAGGTGGAGGAGGACGAGGAGGAGTGGGCGGTGGGGTGGGGGGGGGAGAAGGGATTATGATGATGCTGATGATGATGATGATGATGATGATGATGATGATGATGGTGATAACGATGATGCTGATGATGATGATGAGGCTGATGCTGATGGCGATGATGATGCTGATGCTGATCATGGTGATGAGGATGCTGCTGATGATGATGATGATGATGAAGATGATGATGATGCTGCTTCTGATGAAACTTAGGCTTCTGGTGATGGTGGTATGATGACGGTATGATATGATGATGGCGATGATGATGCTGACGCTGATGCTGATGATGCTTATGATGCTTATGATGATGCTGATGATGAGGATGATGATGCTTATGCTGATGGTGATGATGACGATGATGATGATGATGATGATGCTGCCGATGATGCGGATTATGATGCTGATGATGCTGATGCTGATGCTGATGCTGATGCTGATGCTGATGCTGATGATGATGATGATGATGATGATGATGATGATGATGATGATGATGATGATGATGATGATGAGAAGGAGGAGGCCGGGCTTGGAATGAGAGCGGACGGCAGTGTTGCAGGAGGTAATAGCAGCAATGGCGACGATTGGTGATGGTGGGGATGACGGCAGCTACGCATGCTCGAAAGCAGTGACGGGGGGCCTTTTGCGATCGGTGTCGCTGTTCCTCCTAACCTCCAATAACATCCCAAACACCTCCAGGACCACCCAACACCTTACAGCCCGCAGGGAACTCATAATCCCCTTTTCCTCTCTTACCCTCCTCCGTCCCTTCTGAAGGGGGTCGTATCTTCTACCTCCTGTCTCGGTTTCCTGCGCCCCACCCCTACCTCCTTCCTCCTGTCCTCCAGATATCCGACATCCTACCGCCTGCCTCCTGAGTTCTACATTTACCTTCTACCTCTCCCCGGCCCCATACCTCCTACATCAGGCATCTTGTCTCTTACATACTATCTCCTACCTCCAGCAGATCACTTCTTATCAGACCACCTTCAGTTTCTCTTGGGGCTGGGTGATGGGGTCGCGCGCGTGTGTGTGTATGTGTGTGTGTGGGTGCTTGTCTCTATCCGGTCCCCCCCTGCTGCGCCAGGTGGAATTCGTCTAAGAGTGTCCCAGCTTGGTGGTAACGGCTCACAGCCGATGTATGACATGTCACGGCCTTTTGCGAGAGGAGGGCGTTGCCGGAGGAACGGGTTCCTTTTCCGTTCCTTGCCTTTTCCATCCCGTTCTTAGTCCTCTCCTCCTCGTCCTCATCCTCCTCCCCCCTCTCAGTACTCCCATCTCCTCCTCTCGCCTTCTCCTCTTCCTCGTCCTCCTCCTCCTACTTTCCGCCTTCCTTCCTCTTCTCTCGTCCTCCTCCCGTCCTTCTCCTCCTCCTGTTCCTTCTCCTCCTATTCCTCCTCCTCCTCTTCCACCGCCTTTATCTTCTCCTCCTCCTCCTCCTCCTCCCTCCTCCTCCCCTCTCGCGCGACAGGAGAGCAACGCGGGATCGCTGTTCCCGTTCTCGTGGCAGGAGTCGTTCCAGGCCCGCCCCCATGAGTCGCCCTCGTCTCTCTTCCTGCTGGAGCTGCTCCTCTTGCCGCGACCCCCGCGGGAGCCGCGGGCCGAAGGCGGGATGAGGCGGGTGATGCCGAGGTGGTGAAGGAAGAGAGGAGAAGGATGATGCCGCGGACGGTGAAGATCAGGATGACGAGGGTGAGGGCAGAGGAGGATAGTGATAAGGACGCGCGGGGATGGTATGAGGAGAAGATGAGGATGAGGACATGGTGATGAGGATGCGGGGGCTGAGGGGAAGGCGGGGAGGGGGGGCAGGAGGAATTGTGTGTGTGGATTTGTTTGAGTGAGCGCCACCGCTACTCTTTGCTCTGAGTGTGAAGCCCCATCGTTTATCTGTGGGTTGGGTTCACTAGCGCGTCGGAGAAGTACGCGTGTGTGTGTGTATGTTTTTGGTGCCGCATCGAAGGGCCCGGCCGCGCGCGTGGGCTCTGTGCCGGCTGCCTGGCTTGCTCCTTCGACACTGCGCGCGAGGCCGCGATAGCCAGCAAGTATGTGTTGTGTTTGTTTGTTTGTTTGTGTGTGTGTGTGCGTGTGCGTGTGCGTGTGCGTGTGTGTGTGTGTGTGTGTGTGTGCGCGTGCGTGCGTGCGTGCGTGCATGTGTGTGTGTGTGCGTCTGTGTGCGCGCGTGTGTGTGTGTGTGTGTGTGTGTGTGTGTGTGTGTGCGTGTGTGTGTGGTGTGGTGTGTGTGGTGTGTGTGTGTCTGGTGTGTGTGTGTGTGTGTGTGTGTGTGCGCGAGGCCGCGATCGCCAGCAAGTATGTGTTGTGTCTGTGTGTGCGTGTGTGTGTGCGCGTGTGTGTGTGTGTGTTTGTGTGTGTGCGTGTGTGTGTGTGTGTTTTGTGTGTGTGTGTGTGTGAGTGTGTGTTTGTGTGTGTGTGTGCGTGTGTGTGTGTGTGTGTGTGCGTGTGTTTGTGTGTGTGTGTGTGTGTGTGTGTGTGTGTGGGTCTCCTTGCCCTTTTCCCCTTTCCCCCTCCTCCTCCACCCTCCCATCCCAAGGGGAGTCGCGAGGAGGGGGAAGAGGATGACAACGAGGAGGCGGAGGAGGCGGAGGTTGGGAGGGACGTGAGGAAGGGAAGGGTAACAGATGGGGATAAGGAGAAGAGGGGCCAGTTTGATTCCGGGTCTGGGGATGAGGGGCGGATGGTGCCCGGAGCAAAACCCCTCACATAACACGGATGTTGCAATCTGCTCTCCCGTCCGTATCCCCGTCTCGTAAGTCAGTGCACGTGCGGCGAGCGGCAGCTGGAAATGTGAGGACTCCAGCCGCCGGCACGGTGGGGTCTCCCCGTGTCTGGAATACGCACCAACAGTCATAAGTATTCGTTGTCTAGTTCAGAGGTGTACAGCCGTCAACGGGTGTGAGCCACGATGCAGTCATGGCATAAGCTTCAAGCCATGCGTGCGTTGTGCCGAATTCCAAGCCTGAGTTTGAGCCTCGACTGCCTCCCCATCCGTCCAACAGTGGGCATGCCAGCGTTTGCCACCCCAATGTGTCGGGCTGTCCAAGGCGAGGGCTCGGCGTTGACAACTAATCGCGCTCCGCAGTCGAAATGCTTTGGATGCGAACGTGCGTGGCGCTAACGCGAGAACCACATGTTGAAAGCCATCCACCCTTAACCCGTTTTTCTGTTTTTTGTTTGTTGATATTTTTTTGTTTCGTTTTCTATATAAAGAGCTTTCTGGCCACCATTTGCGAACAATTTTCAGGGTCAGCGACTATACAGCCCTGCTGAATAGTCTGGTGATGTGGTGTCACGAGGTGCAGTCTTTTCGCTCTCGGAAGGCAGCGCGAATGGGGAAGGGGGGAGCACAGCGATAATGCCTGATGTTGTGATGAACGAGGGGTTGTATGCAGATGTGAACGTACATGTAAAGTGGGTGATGGTGACGACGCTGATTTTGATGATGATAGTAGTGGTGATGCTGATGCGGATGCTGATTACGATGATGATGACGATGTCTATGATGATTATGATGATGTTGCTGCTTGTGACAATGATGATGATGATGATGATGATGATGATGATGATGATGATGATGATGATGATGATGATGATGATGATACTGATGAGGATGCTGATATTGATGTTGATGATGATGCTGATGCTTATGATGATGATGATGATGGTGATGATGATGATGGTGATGATGATGATGGTCCTGGTGGTGGTGGCGATAATGATGCTGATGCGGTCGCTGCTGCTGCTGATGATGCTGATGATGATGATGCTGCTGCTGCTGATGATGATGATGATGATGATGATGATGATGATGATAATGAGGATGAAGAGGAGGATACGGTGTTGGGGGAAGTGGAGGGATAGGGAAGTTCGTCGCTTTGTAATGGGGAGTAGATGATGTTGACGATACGAGGGCGGGGGGTGGGGGGTGGGGTGCGGGGCGGAGGATGATCATGTCGAGGAGCGAGGTAGGTGTACGTGTAGGCCGAAGGAGCAGGAATGTGGCCATGATTGTTGGCAGGACGAGATGGAGGATACTGTAGAGTAAGGGTGAGGAGAACGAAGCTGAGGACGATGATGGGGAGGAGGAGGAGGGGGAAGGATGAGTAGGGAGAAGGATGGGGTCGAGAACCACAATGATCATTATGATGACGACGATGAGCATGCTGATGAGGTCGGTGATGCTGATGATGCTGATGATGATGATGCTGATGATGATGATGACGACGCTGATGCTGATGGTGATGATGATGCTGACAACAATGATGATGACGATGACGATGCTGGTGATGCTGATTATGCTGATGATGCTGCTGCTGATGATGCTGCTGATGGTGATAACAATGACGATTCCGATGACGATGATGATGATGACGATGTCGATGCTGATGATGCTGATGATGATGAGGATGCTGATGCTGATGGTACTGATTATGCTGATGCTGATGCTGCTGACGATGGCGATGAAGCTGTTACTGATGATGCTGCTGATGATGATGACGATGCCTACGACGACTTTGATGCGGTCGCTGCTTGTGACGACGACGATGATGATGATGATGACGATGATGAGGATGATGATGATGATGATGATGATGATGATGATGATGATGATGATGATGATGACGATGCTGACGATGCTGAAGATGACGATGGCGATGATGATGATGCTGATGATGCTGATGATGATGATGATGATGATGATGATGATGATGATGATGGTGATGATGATGATGATGATGCTGATGATGACGATGATGATGGTGCTGATGTTGATGATGCTGCCAGCGATGATGATGCTGCCGCAAGTTTTGGGCACTCGGATGGTAGCGGAGCGTTGTGGTACGGGAGCTTCCAGACGGACGAGCAGGGCTGCACCTGGCTCGTGGTGAGTACGGACACCGAGAAGAGCTAGAAACATACAGTGGCGGGCCTCATCGTGCAGAACAGACTCCGAGGACAGTGGCACCAGCTAGGACAGTACCTACACACGGTGAAGCAGCGAGGCAGACTCGATGGCGATTCCAAAGGAGATGCTGCGACGAATCGAGCAGCTGGAGCAAAACAGCGTGGAGTTGATACGCGAAGCACAAGAATCCAGATAACGAGCATGTCGACTGCAAGCGGAAGCGGCTCGCGCCGCTGAAGGTGCTGCTGGCGTGGGAGCGGCGGCGGAAGCCGCAGCGGCGGCGGCGGCCGACGCTGAGAGGAGCACCCCCTTCGAGGCGAGGATTACGAACCCCCCCGAGAGTTTGAACGACAAGCAGGAGTCGCGGTCCGACTGGTGTTCTTTGTTCTAGAGCTGCGTGGCCTCACAAGATGAGCGCATGATCGAGCTGATGGATAGGTCGGCCACGCTGATGAAGATATAGTTCAGTGCAGAAGGTTTGCCGACGAGAGGGTCGGCGACGACGGGGGAGCGAGAACCCTGTTCCACTTGCTGACTGTCAGCATGGCGATGAAGTCGCGCGGCTTCAAGCTAATGAAGAACCTCAAGTCGTCGAATGGGTTCGAGGGCTGGAGACAGCTCATCATCGAGTGCGAGCCGAGAGTTCGCGGGCGCCAGGGCGTATTGCTGAACCAGCCACTGAGCGCGACGTTCAAGGCAGGGACCAGACACCGGAAGGCGACCGAGACGTGGGAACGCGAGGATGCAGAGTACGAGGGGCAGGCCGAGGGCATCTTGTCCGAATCCATCAAGGCAAACGCGCTGGTCCAAGGGCAGGAAGACGAAGTGCTGAAGTCACACCTCATGCTGAACCCCGACAGATCGGCCAGATACCAGGACACCCGCAAGGATGTCATGGATTACATCGTGAATCAGCGGGTGGGGCAGCGAGATGGCGATCAGGCCTGGCCGATGGGCGTGGATGCAGTTCGCGCGTGGTGCAAAGGGAGCGAGCCGCGTGGAGGCAAGGGGCAAGATGGCAAAGGGACGGGCGATGATGACACATGTAAGTCGAATGGCGGCATTAACAATGACGGCAACGGCAAGACGAGGGGCGACAAGACCAAGCGGTGCGACTGGCGCAGGATCGCGGGACACACGACGGGGATATGCAGGAAGAAACGCAAGTGCGACCAGCGGATGTCCCAGCTGCGCAGCAAGGCGCAAGCTCTCGTTCACCAGCAGCAGCTGCGCCCGCACGTTGCCGCGCCAGGAGGGACTGCACCGGCGTCCAGTGGACAGAGTGCAGTCCGCGGCCTGGGCCCGAACGACTCTGCCTCGATGGTGAACGATGGTGAACGCCATCCCAATCTCGATTCTGGCCCAGCACCGCCTGGACGTGGCGCGGAGGCCGGCGCAGTCTCGCGCTGCAAGCTTGGGCTGAAGCCCAGCGACCCCGTTTGCACCTGGTCGGCGAGACGCGCTGGCTGGGCCCTATCAAGGTTTACCGTGAGAGAAGACGGCTCGACGCCGTATCGACGGCTCAAGGGGGGAGACTACCGCGGCCAGATCGCTGAGTTTGCGGTGCCCGTGATGCGCAAGCTGCCCGCAGGAGCTGCAGG